AAGGAGCCCCGGGGGGCCGGGCGCCCCCTCCAGGAGGCCTGTCAGGTGCCCACCTGAACCTGGCGTCCTGCGCCGCGTGGCCCTTTTGGGGGCGAGGTGCCCTCCCACGTGTTGCAGACCGAGGAACTGAGGCCGGGGGCACGGTTTCAGACGCAGCGAGCACCCAAACCCGCCACGTCTGAGCTAATGATGCAGGGGGCCTCATCCCCTCTCAGGGATCCCGTTCCCTGGGCACGCGAGATCTGTGCATCCATGCAACAAAGGCTTCCTGAGCAGTGAGCGCCACTGTGTGCAGGGCACTTCAACTCCGATTCACATCCTGTCTTGGTTTAATATTCAAACCACTTTGGGCGAGGTGGGCACAATTATCCCGTTTTACAGAGAAGAAGACTGAGGCCCAGGCACTTGTCTCCCTGGGGGGAGAAGACCTGGGCTGACCCCATAAGGTCAGTGTCCAATCTTATTGCCATTTTACAGATGGAGAAAGCGAGGCACAGAGAGGAGATGTCATCTACCTAAAGCGCTCCATCAGTGGTTGGAAGAGCCAGGATTTGAACCCAGATCTCCTGACTTCAGAAGGGGTAAGCTCTTAAGCACGGTTACGGAAGAGTGCAGACAGCATGTTGGTCTGGGCCTCGGTTTCCCCATCTGTAACAAGGTAAGGATTGGCTTGGAGTGGAGTTTCTTCATCAGGGGTACATGGATGAGCTTCTGCGGAGAGGGCTGTGAGTCCTGCAAAGGTGTATGCAAGTGTGTGCACACAATGGGTGTGTGCGATGCATGTGTGTGCAAGTTGATGGGTATGTGTCATGTGTGATGCCTGCGTGCATGTGTGTGATGTGTGTCTGTGACAGGAGTGTGTGTTTATGGGGAGAGACCACAGCTCTCATTAGAGGGGACCCGGAACCCTCTAAAGCTCTAGGACGGTCTCTAACCACCCCTTTGGCCTGGATTGAGGTGCAGCAGGCAGTCCTGGGCTAGGGAGCCCCCTGCCCAGCTTGGTGGTGCACCAGGGATCTGTCCCATGGGATCCTGCCGTGGCTTGTCCAGATCCAAGATCTCTGCTAGCAACACTCCAGCAGGAAGGATCTGCCAGCCTCTCCCTCTGATTCCTGGGGACTGCCTCTCCTGACTCACCAGGGCCGGGCCTGAGTCAGGACGGGGGAGAGTGTGCTGATATAGAGGGAGGTATCCCCTGTCCCCCGAGGGGGCAGTGAGAGCTGGGTTCAAACTCTGCCTCTGCCACCTCTGCCCAAGTTAGCTTGGCCAAGTTCTGCCCCTCTCCAGCCTCAGTTTCTCTTTGTAAGGGCAACAGTTGCACATTCCTTATGGGGGCGGGGCGGGATTGACATGTCACGGTAATGCCCTGGCACCCGCTGGCCGCTGGTTCATGTGGTCGCCCAAGGACTCCCCACTTCCTCCAATGACATCATCATGGCACCAACTTTGCCCGCTTGGGGAGCTGCCTCCCTCCCTTCCATGTGTGATTTTGGGCGCCTACTGTGTGCTATCTGTCTGACCCCCAAGAAACTCAGCTTTGTGCCTTTCTGGTTAGCCTTTGTTTGTGACACGACTAGATCAGTGACTCCATAACCGTGGATGATTTGTCACTCCCAAGGGGCCATCTCCTGAGAGGCCCAGGTCCATCTGCAGCCTAAGTCAAGTGGCTGGGGTCAAAAACCATCTCCCCAAAGGTGACACTGAAGGGCATGCAGCTCTTTAGGAAGAAGTGCTGGGCAGTGGCTTATGTCCTGGGGAGTGCCTTGGAAGGCCCACGAGGTGTCGGGGACACCTGGGATGGATGTCTCAGAATGAGGCACTACCAGGTCTGTTTGCAACATGTCGAGATGCACCTGTGATTAATGGCATACACATTCCTTTACCAAGGCCACCAAATTCATGGGAGCTTCAGGCGGCTGTGGATTTACCCAGCGAGGGACACTCTCAGTAAAAGCTGTTATCCACATATTGACCTCAGAGGAGGCCCTGTCCTTGCTGAGGTTGGGATCCCCTGGTCCAGGGAATTGATTTATAACTACAGCCACACCCTGTGGAGGTGCAGCCTGGTGGTTACCGCACAGGCTCAGTGCCCCATAGGCCTAAGTGTCAATTCCAGAGCAACCACTGGGAGCTGTGTGACCTGGGACCAGTCACCTCCTCTCTCTCAGCCATATTTCCTTGCCTGAAAAAACAAACCACAGGACCTTTTTAAGATCCCTCTGGCTTAAGAGTTCATGCTTCTGGGCAAGTGTGAGAGCTTTGGGTCTCCGCATGGTGGTCCTGGGGCACAGCCCGAAGCCCCTTTTCAGGGTGCACTTTCCTGGTGGCTGTCAGCCTGTTTTCTGGTCCTCTCTCCTCCCTGAGCTGGAAGGGCAGGAAATGCCGCAGGGGCCTGGGTCTTGGTCATTTGAGGTTTCAGTGTTTGCTGAGACGGGGGGAGAGGGGCCTGCTCCCTCGAGGTCTCAGGCCTGTCCCTGTGGGCGGGGCCTCTTCCCTGGGGGCCTAGTGGTCTCGTTGCCAAGACCAGACCACAACCGCCAGTAACGACAGCAGCTTCCGTTCCCGAGCGCTGACCGTGTGCCAGGCGCTGTGCTAAGCATTTTGCCTGCATTGTCTCCTGCCCCTCTCTCTGTCACCGGGGAGGCCGCCTCATTCCCCCCGGGTGGGGGGCTCGCCCCAGGTCCAGGCTGGTGAGTGATGGGTGCCGGCCTGTGCACTCACCCACCAGGCCACACTGCCGCCCTCTGGCTGAGCCGTGCGGCGGGGCTTCTTTGGGGAAAAAGAGAACTCAGCTCAGATTTGGACTCCCATCTGGGAGCTGATGAGGCGAGAGACGACACATGGACACACACACGTGTGGACCACACAGGGACACGGACTCAGACACATACACACACACCCCTCCCGGAGCAGGCTGTGGGGTTTGGGAAATACAGCCCTTCTGGTATGGAGTCACTGACACGTCCCCCGGGGCTAGTCCAAACAGGAAATGCTGTTCTCCAGCAAACGACCTGGGTCGAAGCCTCCCTTCCCTGTGAACTCCCACCGGGGCCTCGCTAAGGGCCCCCCTCCTCTGCCTGTGTCCCTCAGGACAGCCTCCCTGGCTCGGGGGTGCCCATGATATCAGTCCTGTTGCCCGGGCACCCCATCTCATCTGTACCCATATCGTGCCCATCCTATAGGTGAGGAAGCAGCCCGAGGGAGACAAGTGGGCCCAGAGCCTGTGGCAGCAGCCCCCAGGGGCCCAGGCCTGATGGCAGTGCCTGGATGTCATGGAGAAGAAGGGGCCGTGTAAACCCCAGTGGCCTTCAAAGCCTCTGCCCAGACAAAGGGTAGGGCTGGAGGGCCGGGCCTTCCCTGCGCTTCCAGGTTGGGGAACAATGCCCGCTTTCTGCGCCTTTGATCTGGAGGCCTGGCCCTGTTGTCCCTAGTCCCAGAGTAGGGGGCACCCCACTGGGCCAGGGCGGGGCCCTGGGGGACCCGGAGAGCCTGCAGCTGCCTGGCCAAGTTATTTATGCTCCGTGGAGCTGCCCTTCTCACCCAGCTCATTCCTTCCTCACGGAGCTGGGACGGGCTGGAAGGGAGCGATGGGAGGAAGGAAGCTGTCGGAAAATCATAATTTAGGGCTCCGAGGGGGCCTTCCTGCCCTCCTCAGGAATCCCCAGGCGGAGAGGCTGCACCTTGGGGGGGAGGGAGGACAGCAGAGTGACAGGCGGGGCACGAGCAAGCATGGCAGCACAGGGTGCCTGTATTTGGAGTTAAGAGACCTGGATGTTCTGTGTGATCTGGAGCAAGTTCCTTCTCTCTGGGCCTCAGTCTCCCCATCTGGAAAACAGGGGTGATGAGAGACTTGGGGACTTTCCTGTGACTGTGCTTTGTTGACTGTGAGGAATGCACAAATGAGAGGCCTTCTCCTTAATGTTTGTCCCACTTCCCTTCCTCTGGTACCTTCCCCCAAATCCCCTCCTTTCTGCTCCTCACCTCTGCCCCACCTGCCTTCTCTGAGGTCCCTTACTCTGCATCTCTTTCCACACCTCTCCTCCTGCAAAAATGGACTAATGAGGTCTCCTTAGGCAGCATCCACCCAGCTGGGGGATAGAGGAAGGAGCTATTGGTTTGTTCATACTAGAGTGTTAATGACTGATGTGTTGAATGTTGTTAAATGTTGGGGGGCAGTTAGCAGGATTTCTTCCTCATTTAAGCCCTAAATCATTGGTAGTGGAACTTCTAGGCTAGTAAGGGGGATGCTTGCTGACCAAGGGTCTAGGAACAAGGTCTGCCAGGTGAGAGGACCTTCTGTGTGGGAAGGTGTTCATCTCCCAGCCCCAATGAGGTGAAGCCCACCTCCTGCGGGACACATCTGGAGTGGCAGCCCTAAGTCCCTTTGGTTAGATGGATCTGGCAGGCATGAAGGGCAGGCAAGAGGAGCCACTCAGAGCTGAGACCCTGGAGCTGCCCACCAGCCCTGCCAGGTCCTGGTGGCACCTGTTGGGCCACGAGCACGTTGGCCCGCCCCACCTGACACCCCCAAGATGAATGGTTTCCACCTTCAAGGAAGTGATTCTGAGGGGTAAGAGGAGAATGAGAGGAAGAGGAGAGAAAAGAATCAGAGAGAGACAGAGAGATACAGAGAGATACTCAGAGAGACAAAGAGAGCCAGCAAGCCAGAGACAGAGGGAGACAAAGTGAGCCAGAGAGATATAGAAAGAGACAGATGGAAAGACAAGGAGA